TTGAAATAAATTTTCAATATCACAATTACATTCTAAATTGCTAGCTATAATATAAGGGCTAAAATTAAAAATAAAATTATAAAAACTTACTTGTTAAAATAAAATGTGTGATCGATATACAATTATACATACCTGGTACAAAATATTCGATTGTATGAATATAGTTTTATGAAGAAACGTACATAAAAATAGCATAAGATATTCTTTACTTCTTAAATATTAAAACAATCCACTTAGTTAAAAGTGCTCCCTATCAGTGACTCGTGGATGGAATCAGAGACAATCTTGGTAGGTGTGCGGTGCATGCATGCATGCCAAATCCCAAGGGTGCTGATACCAGTTAATGTCTCTTTTGTCTCATCACTAGTATATCTCAAAGGACGCGACAGGGTTGTTGTAAATTTTAAACGTTTCTCATCATAGCTGTAAAAATCTAAATACGTTAAACTTAATAGATTGCCCGTCTTTTGTTTTCTAACTAATTCCTTTTAGGACCAGGTGTTGTCCACAGAAATTTCCAAAATTTACAACTTTTCGGTCACTCTTGTTGAACTGGAAAAATTTCTGCCTTTATTACATCTAATACAGTATTTTGAAGAAATCAGTCTCCACTGTACTCGGCTAGAGATGGTTCGGTAAAGCTTTTGTTTAAGTAATATTCTGGCTCTTTCATCAGGGTTTTGTTTATGTCCCCAATTCCCTAATCGCTTAATTATTTAACTACTTCTTAAGTAGAAATAAGTCTAAACTGGTTACTTTGTACTCGAATATTTGTAGTCTCGGGAAAAAGTGGAAAGACAAATTTTTATGACAAACGGATACATAAATCGTAAATTTAAGGAAAATAAATTCTACAGCTTTTTCTGTACCTGGTGCATCTCTCTCATTATTAAATTTAGTCGTAAATGACACTGTCGAAGTAACGGCTAATTTTTTAACATTATACAAGAATTGTACATGTTTTTTTTCTACATCCCCTTAGAGATGGGACATACCAAATTGTAATATCACTGGTTTAACATTGAAATCCATGAGTAATATAAAATCGGAGAGCGGAATAAAAATATCAAATGTTTTAATGGATTTTTTAAACTCCTGTCAACTATACAGAACTATCGTAAAAACATACCAGTAAATTCTTATCGGTTGGGTTAAGTTATAAATCTACTCATTATTCACGTAATCAGCCAAATATCTAGCGGGCGGGCGGCTAACAGCCCGGAACTGGTCCCGGACAGAATTGGAAGCATTGGATGTGTAACATCAACTCAAGGTCGTAGGCTTCCACCGGCTAAACTGGGTGATGTTGGTGCTTTGTAAAGCGCGTGCGCAGATCTGGCTTTTTGGAATCTGACAATACAGAGATTCCACTCCACCATTAATATTTGAATATAAATAGCAATCTTTTTTTTTTTTTCACGTGTAGTATAGAAATTTGTAATAAGATACATAATGCGGTTGTAATAAAACATTGTACGATTATTTTCATATAATTAAAATTAATACAGTAATACCTCGACTTACGCGAACCCGGAGTTACGTGATTTTCAAATCTCGTCGATTCGTCTTTTGTTTGAGCGCCACGCTACTTTTGATTACTCACTCCCCCCACACTATTGTTCAGCTTACATGTTCAGACGTGTCACGCGGAATTGACACATAGCTACAATTTATTTTGTGTTATTTATTTCTGTGTTTGTTATATCTACGGAGCCTTGAGAGACTCTATGTGGTGATTTCTTGTAACCGTGAACGAATCAAAAGATGAGATAAGATTAACGAGAACATTTATTAGCTTACATATATCCGACTTGGATTTTACACAAATTGCGAAATTATACCCCGACTTACACGAATTCGAGTTACGCAGTTATCGCTCGGTCCCACCTATTGCGTAAGTTCGGGGTATTACTGTATGTATTTATTTTTTAGAAAATACAAGGGAAGCGGCGCTTCCACCGCTTCTAATGACGGCATGCCACTGGTTACAATCCACTGTTAATGTAAAATAGTGGTCCTGTTGAGAAGTGGTAACTTTTGGATGACACTTCAACATTGTAAGAAAGTGATAGTTGACATTCAACGTATCCTGTTTTTTAAACTCTAGCCCAAAACATGGTAATGACACTCTGCAGCACATTTCTGAACACATCTGTCTGTAACTGTGTTATGTATGCAAACCTCCAGGGGATAACCCACACTGAATTGCCCCTTGATCTAGTTAGGCAACCCCCAGCAAACTTTGACCTTTGCCATCCTTCCTTTGTCTCCAGGCAATTGTGCATTAGCTGTAGTGACACTTAGATCTGGATGCACATGTTATGTTGCATTATCACAAAGTTACATTTGCATTATAATAAAGTTAATTATATATGTTACAAGTAATTGTTTATTTTATGGACACAACAAACTGGCCTGCTTCTAGCCTTCCAATAGTTCTTTCTTTTGTAAAATCATCTATTTAGCATCTTTGTGGCAATATGATTGTCAGTAACAAACTGTTCTTAATAGTTAAAACAATACAGAAACAATGCCAGGCTACTACTGTATACAGGTAGTCCTCGGTTTATGCTGCAGTTCGGTTTCTAGAAAAGCTAGCACAAATCGAATCAGCATAAAATGAACCCATATTTACAGTGAGGTATAGGATTAGGTTCTATATAAGTGAAAAATAAGCAAATAATTTTGTTTATTAATACAATATAATACAAAATACATATATTATAAATTTAATTATTTGATAATAAAATACATTTTATTATTTATTTATTTTATTATTTAATTTAATAAAATACATTTTAAAAATGTATTTTATGATAAAATAAAATGAAATGTTTTTATTAAAAAATCTTAAGAAAAACAAATGATATTTCAAAGTTTCGGATCTCTTATATTTTTTGGAAAAAAGTATCCATCTTTAATTGTTTCGATTTTTGTTTTCTTTCATTAAGAATTTCGGAATATGGTTGAATAGATGCGATGATGCTCCTTTTTACATTTGCACTTTGCTCCTAATCGTTGTCAACTCACAAAGTTCATCCATCAAACTTTCCATAGTTGAAAGGATACGCTTTAGATTGGCCATTTTCGTTACTCTGAGTTTCCTCTTTGTTTTCTTGCTTCTCGGACTGTTCACAATCTAATTCTTTGTATAATTCTTCTAAGTCTTCATTTGAGAGTGGCTGATCATGGGCTTCTAAAACTTCTGTCACATCTTCAGATGTAACTTCCAATCCCACATCACGCACAAGTCTGGTAATGTATTCAATTAAATTCTCCTGATGTGCTACTTCTTCAAAATCGTGCATGAATGCTAAAAAAAGTTTATGCCAAACTCCATTTAAGCATTTTGCTGTAACTTCATCCCAAGCCAACTTGATGTTTTTAATGCCTTTCAAAATATTGAAAGACCACCAGTAGTCTTTAACAGTTTTGTCTGAAGTGTCTAAAACTCTCATCATTTCCATGAATGTATTACAGAGATAATAAGCTTTGAAGGTTGCAATAACCCCCTGATCCATTGGTTGCAAAAGAGATGTATCAGGAAGCATGTAAACAACTGTGACATCCAATGGTGTTCTTATTTCATCAAGATTTTGAGAATGTCCTGGAGCATTGTTCAAGAGAAGAAGTGCCTTGGATGGTAATTTATTTTCTTCACAAAGAGAAGCACAGTAGGGCAAAAATAACTTGTGTACCAATCTGTGAAAACATCTTGTGTGGTCTAAGCTTTCTTGTTCTATTTCTAATAAATGGCAATATGTCTTTATTTAGACCCTTTAAAGCAAATGGTGTCTGTGAATGATACACTAACATTGGTTTAAGTTTCAAAGTTCCTGAAACTGGTGGTTTTTGACTCCCAACAAAAGAGTTGATCTATCTTTCGCAACTTTAAAACCTGGAGCGGAACATTCTTCATGAGAAATAAAAGTTTGTGCTGGTAACTTTTTCCAATAAAGCCCAGTCTCATCAACGTTGAAGATTAGGTCTGGAGAATAGTTGCCTTGTTCTACATAACCCTGAAATTCCTTAGGAAAAGCATATCTGTACTTGCTGCTTCACACATTATTTTACACTAAGACAGCTAGTTTGGGATTTAAATCTCATAAACTAACCCTCGCTTCCCAAAAAAGTTTCTTTGACTCCATCTGTCTAATTAAGATTATAAAAAATTGATTTTGCTGTTTTAGTTATATCAGCTTGAGTCAAGGAAATGATTTTTTTGATTTGCATCATCCACCCATAACGATAACAATTTTTCCATTTTTTCAAAAATTTTACCTCTACTGTAATTCACATGTTTTACATTTACTGCCATAAACTGTTGAGCAGAGTGTTTAATTTTATCTGCATTTTTCATAATGTTAGTAACAGTCGATGGATATAAGTTCAAAGATCTACAGACATTAGAGCATGTTTGTCCATTTTCCATTCGTCGAATAACTTCCATTTTTGTTTCTATGGAGATAGATTGCCATGCTTTCTTAACATGTTTAGATAATTCTGGTGCACTTCTTTTATCTGACATAATAACATTCCTTTATTCTTGTATATGTATGTGGGTACCTAAACATTTAGTTTATTAATTTAATGAAATTGTATACAAAACAGAAAAAATAAATATATTCAATAAAAATCTTTGTTTTAACAAATGTACAACATCGCAGCTCAGTAAATACGTCAACACTGAAATGAAAATCAGTCTAGCATAGGGAAAATTGGGGAATTACACGGCAAAATGCAAATTGCGCAGTGGCATTATTGTGAATTGGCATAAACCGAGGGCTACCTGTATATAAAGCCTGTGTATTTTGTATAAACTTAAGCTTTTATATGAAACATTCAACCATATCCTGGGTATTTTTATTGTTTGGAAACAGTCACATAAATAAATTGCTATTTTTTAAAATTTTTTGTCCTATCTCTGTATTGAATGATTATGCTTATTTTTTTAACACAAATGTATAAAATACAGATACAATTTTTTAAAAATAACTTACCTACATCAGATCCTCCTTTCTTTTCTGTCATCCATTGACCAGAAGTCCAAAATTGTTTAGGATCTCTACTTATTAAATTATTAAAAGCAGTCTGAAATCTTTTATTTGTATTGCGTGCCACCATCTGAAAATAAATTAGATTTTTAAAATATTAATAATTATTCCTAGTAAAAATATCATTTGAAATCATTTACTATTAAGAAATGATTTCAAATGATAAATTGTCAGGAAGTGATACTTGGTTCAATCAGAAAAAAACTGGAATTATTTTTTAAGCACATCATTTAATATTTTTCAAAATATTCCTCCCACAGTTCAGACAAGTTTTCCACATCTACTCATAAAAATGGCTTGACTGTTTGCATACCCATTCCATGACTCCTCTTGCACATCACCATTCCAATTTCTACAGTTAAACACATCATGCATTATTAATTAATATGCAAAATCATGACTAATCTGCAAACAGTGGCAACTTCATCAACCATGATGGATCAATTACTCTGGATCAAGGCAGTTGCAGCAGCAATGTTAGTGTCAGTGATGGCCGACTTTGCTCTGCCAGTATATGAGTTGTCCAGTACTGATTGTCATCCTGCAAGAAACCTCTTGGCCCATTTAGAGTTGTAATTTTGACACTGCATTCTTATCATAAATAGTTTCCAATCAACAATGAATTTCACTGGGTTTAGCTTTTTATAAGATCAGAAATTCAATGATTGAATGCTGTCTCTCCTTGGACAGACTCACAGTGTTGCACACCATTTTCTGGAATAGGTTCCTGCACTACAGTGTAGTAGCAGTGCTGCTAACATATGCAAAGTATTAATAGTCAATGCTCCAACATACTTGCTAAATTCTGTTTTCCTAGCACAAATGCTTTATTTTTAACAAAATAATTCTTGTTTCTTTTTGACTGAACCAAACAGTAAATAGTAACAAATGGCAAGTCCTTTGCAATCACTTACTTTGTAGAAAAGAATGTAACATAATGGAAATGGTATGAATTGTTATCAAATGATCTTATAATATTTCCAAATTTTTAATTTCTGAATACATGACATCCATTGATGTTAGTTGACAATTTAGCGACATCAAATGGTATCATTTGACAAATATTCTGTTTATTAATAATGATATGTTTATTTATTTAGGGTTGCTAGACGTCTAGTATATATGCTCCTTTTTAAAGAAATGTCCTAGTGTCCTGGCAAATTTTATCAGGATGCCTACTTGTCCCATATTTAGCAAAAGAAATGACAAATTGAAATTTTAAGATCATATTATATGAAACAAAAAACTAATAACACTTTAAACAAGTTGGATACTCCTCACTCCTCATATAAATCATTGGAGTAGAACTGGGAAATAGAACAGTGTTTCAAATATTGGCACCGTGAATAGTCAGTAGTGGCCACAGTGGATTACATGTTTACATCATTACAGTCAGCACAGATGTAAGCATTTAAATTCAAACATTCACTCATAATTTCATAAACTGCCAATAGCTATCACTTGCTGCTTTTGCTTGATCAATCAAAATCAAAATGGAATGGATAAAATTTAGAACTCTGGATTTCTTTTACTTTATCATGCCAAAAAGATAGTGTTCTATAAATTCAGTTATTTTTTTTATCAAAGTGTTAAAAGTTAGGGATTAACAATGTTTCATATATGTTCCATATTATTCAAAATAAATTTAAATATCTTTATATACAGGTCCTGTTTTTTCATTTTGGAAATCTGGCAACTCTAATTTATTAGATATTGCTGGTGACTAATATTGCAAATTCTGAATGTTTCATACAAAGTTCTATTTATGTGGGTATTTTTAATTAGAAAATAATTGTTTATATTTTATGTTTATACAAAGTTTATTACCTTAGTAAAAATATCACTTTATCATTTACAAACAATGTCAATTGATATAATCTCTGAAGTAATTTTTGGACAGTTTCAAGTGACCAAATAATATGAGATGTCACTTGTTATCGATTGTTGATGAAATTTTTTCAAATGATATGAAATGATTTCAATTGGTATTAATTGATGAAATGATGTCACTCGAACATGAAGTAATATAAAATCAAATAACACTTTATTATTAAATTGAATTTTTATTATTCTATTTAAATTTCACTAGAATATAACATAAATATTGACATAATATTGTAAAATATTTATCAATCATAATAAAATCAAAAATCTCTAACCATCTAAACAGATAATAATATAAATAATACTCCAAAAATTTTATAATTTTAAATTATTCTATAACAAGTTAATTCTTTAACTAAAAATATTGATAAAACTGTGATAGATATCAACATATATGTAAGATTTTAAATACAGTACCTGAATTGTTTTGGCTGCTCCATCTGTCATTGCTAAAGGACAGGAATACAAGCCCGACGAAGGTGCATAAAGATATAGCTTAACCATTTGATAGAGTCGACTATATTACAGAAATAACTTATTTATTTTTACTTTCAAATTAAATCAAATTTAATAACATACTTATTGTATGTTTAATAAAATTTTTACTGAAAAATTTAAAATATTTTATACCTCCATTCTGAATATTTCTTTTCATATCCAATTGCAATGAGTCCTTCTTCAGCAGATATATCATGTAACTTTTTCCATGCATCACAAGTCCATAATTTATTAACATAAACACCCCAAGCATTTTGCTGGTTCAATTTTGGAGGATTTAATTCACATTCTCTTCCTAAAACATTGATATCACTTGCTACACAATCTCCAAATCTAATCAAATCTGGCTCAATTTCATATAATACCTAAATAAATTAAAACCATTTTACTTTTTTAATTCATTTATTTTATAAAACAATTATAAACTTATGTAATTAACCATTAAATTAGTCAACAAATTAAATAACTGATTTATTTTATAATGTAAGTTTCACACTTTGATGGTGAATCAATCATTAGAATGATTAAAATATGTTTACACAATCAAAAATTTTGCTATAGAATTCAATACATATACAGTATAATCAGGGCATTCAAGTGCTTGTTTGGGAACATTGGGTAGAGTGGGTTGCTTTTGCTTTTCAAACAAATGAAATAAGTAGAAAGTTTCTTTATTAATAAAGAGCAGCCTTAAAATATGAACTTCCATATAAAAAAGTTAATGGCAAGCTATTTTGTATAATTTGTAGTAGAACTTTAGCAGGTTTCAAACTTTTAAAGATATTTGAAACAAATCATCCAATCAAAGTCGAAAAAGCTATTATACTTTTCAAAAGAAAACCGTCAAATTTGCTCTAAAAAAAACAAAACAAATGTTATTACTTAACAAAGTATAAAACAAAATTAAGATCGATAATTAGAAGCATCAAACGAAAAAAGAAAAACGTGGCAAATGCCAAATACAGAGGACACGTAGACCCTCGAAAAGTTAATTGTGCGCAAAAAGGGGATGGTCGAGAGCGTTAATGTTAATAATACAATGCCGCTGTACCGGAACAAACAACTAGTAAGCTTGGAATCGAAAATGGTCCAAATTTCTGGTTTTTCCGGTTTTCTGGACGTAGGATAAACATACATTTAAAACATAAACAATGGAAAATAAAGAACAAAACTGTATTTAAAACGCCGTATGCAAGTAATCACACTGCAACTGGCATCATTGTAGATCTATAAATTTTCCACTATCGTCCGTTCTTCCTTCCTTCCTTAATCTCGAGAACGGAGTTAGATAGATGAAAAACGAATCAGATATAGAAAACATGGGTAGGAAGACCCAATTAACTGTACAGTACAAGAACTTCTGATGCAAACCGGAAGTCATATTATTTCAATTCAAATCTTTCCCCTGAAAATAGTTAATAGATGACTGTCACAATTCTATTGTTAACGGAAAACTATAGTGTACAGTGTACAGGGACAAGACACTACTAATTTGAGGTGGAGAGCATACATTTTATATTAAATAAATTAAAAATTGCAGCCGGCATTATGACGATGTAACAATAAATAATTGCTCATTATAATCTATTTTTATTTAGTTTTTTTCGGGTTTTTTTTTTTACTCTTTTCGCCGTGTGGGCACTAAGAGGGCCTCTTTAAGCAAGTCCATTATTGGTTTGGCCAGGCCGGGTGATGAGGGACGGGGCCCGACATATCCGAACGGACCACCCCGAAATAGTGCGATGTCAGCGGTGCCCAGGCACAGGGCGCAGACCCTGGGGGCGCAGAAATGACCCAAAACTTAGGTTCTGGGCGTAGTTACAGAAGCTCGTACCGGGCGCATAAAAGGCTAGTTATGGCGCTGCTCCGAAATATTCCTGGGAATTATTTCACTCGTCCGGGTTCAATCCCGGGTCCCCTAGAGCGGTAGGTTGCCACCTTGACCGCTCGGCCATTCTTTACTTCATCATGACACATATATATCCCTAACGAAATAGACGATAACACATATACACATATCCTGGAAAGTCAAATTTGACACGATTAAAAAACTTTCTAGTGTTGTTATAACAGCGAGGAAAGTAAAAATCATGATAAAATTTTTATTTATCTCCAAAATTTAAGACTGATTTTTAATTTGAGATTATCATAATTTCTTAACACCAATTAAAAAAATAATATCAACCTTTAATTTGAAAATAACACGACATATAATCTAATTTTTTTCTTATACTGTATTTAAAATAATTTATGTAATCTGTTTACATATTTTCCTATATACGTATAAATTAATATACGTTATCGACTAAAATAATAAGGATAATTATTAACAATTAGTAATTATTTTTTAATGAATTATAAGGAAAATGCGCTTTAATTATCCTTATACTTCCATAACTGGCAGTTGCTTTAGTAAAAGAAATTCTATATATTCACGCAACATATACATATCGACAATAATTGTTTTGGAAAAAGAGCGATGCTTATACTTAATAAATAATAATAATTATTACTATCAAAATCCAGACCATTATTGCTAATGAAAGATATTAAAATTACCTCTTTCGGTAAATTTCTCTTTAAGTAATTCCTAAGAGGAACGTCATCTAAGTATTGATTTCCCAGTTTCGGTTGTTGTTGAAAAAACGTTCCCTGTTGAGATATTGAAAATGGAATCCAATTGGGTTTGCTTACTTCAACAGCGCAACGAATACTTCCCAAATTAGGAACGATGCCATTACTTTTAACACTTAACAACTTCGAAAAAGCACGACGATGTATTGAAAAGCGAAGCACCATTATTCCAAATGTTAAATGTACAGGTACACTTAATAAATTTGATCAGTGATTCGGGAAAAAGTAACTTTGTCGTTCCTTCTGTATATTTAAATGTGTTATCTATGAAGACAACGGTCACGTTTTGACCTAATTCGTAAACAGAAAAAATTAAATATCACTACGCTGGATCAATTTAAATAAAAATATAAAGTAAAAACAATAATTTTGCAATTTTTTCTACGGTTCCGTCAACAGAAATCTTACTCTTACCGTATAAATAATATCGTGCATAAAGAAATGAAAAGTACACTTGGTTATTGGAAAAATTTAATAAGATAATTTGAAATTACAGATGAGAATATGCATAAATTAAATCGAAAATTGAATTATTTTTTAAATATCTCTATTTAAAACTGTGATATTATTATGTAAGTAAGTTTTGTATATAATGTTCTGCTTCCGCGTATAGTGTATCCGTTTAATAAATAAATAATCATAACTTGTCCTCTCTTTAATCTGTTGCTAACCGTTTTGTGGCTCTACTTTAATTGCTATTTCATTAATAAACACAATATTAGTTATAAATATCATATACTCAAGCTCCTTTCTCTGCATCCTGAATAACTCACCTAATATTAATTTTAAAAACAAAATATATGGGTTGATAAACTCCAAAATCCATCCTAAATCCTCTTTTTGTATTCTATTCTAACACTTGTTTTAACAATTCTATACATTTCTATAATTAAATTTATATAATTTTCATCAACCTTTTTCTTCATAACTCAGAAAGAGTTCTCGGGAAATCCTGAAGGTATTCCATATTATTAAATAATTATGTACAGATAAGTTTAACTATTTTTTTTAAACAAACAAGTATTTACACTGTTATATTCGTTGCGTAATTGATGTTACGCTCACATAGGGTTTTCTTCGTTTATATTTTTATTCTTGCATATTCTCAACAAATATGTTACACTAGATTATATTTTTTCCACGCTTAGGAATACACAAACACGCTTCTTTTGTTCTTGGGCATTCGTAGAAAAAGTGTTCTGTTGTTTCTGTCTCGTTGAACAATTTGCACAGTGGGGTTGAGGTACTATGTGACGAGAGTGGAGAAAGTGTCCAGTAGCTAGGAGATGGTGAGACATTAACTAGTACATGTCGGTATTTTTCGGAGTGGTTTTTATTTTCTTGATAAGCTGCCATTTTTTCTTGTGGTCTATATTTGGACGCTTTTTTATATGTGGTTCTTCTTTTATTCTATTTAATAAGGTGTGGTAGAGGGACTTGGTATTGCTTTTCTTCCGGTCTGTGTCTGTTTGCCCGTTTACGAATTCTGTAAATATTTTGGATGCTTCCTGATAGAAGGGTGATGGTATCCAGCTTCTCGCTCTTAGATTTGAGTTTAAGGATTTATTTCTATTTCGTAATTTCATTCCTATCCAGTATGTGGCTAACTATGTCCACAGCTTATTGTCTCCCAGAATTAGTTTTTTTTTTTTTTTTTTAATGATTGAGAATTTAAGCTTTAATTTTTGTCTCAAGATGAGTCATGTTTATTCCTCCGTCCTGTATTTTTTAACCATTATGTGTCTTTTTAATTTATCTGGTTTGTTATTCCATATTAATGTTTTAAAGCCTAATGATTCGATTTTTTAATTACATCGCGGGGAATTGGAATAAAATTTGCCATAAACTGGATCTTGCTGTAAATTTGCGTGTTATATATTAACCCTGATATTGTTTCGAAGTGTTGCAGTAGCTGAGCTAGTCTTCTTATACTTTTTTCGGTGGTACAAAAGCAGGTTAAGTCGCCTGCATGTGCTATTACCTTTGTTTCAGTTCTACTCCCGGGAACTCGCAGACCTTCTATATGTTTGTCCTCTTATTGTTCTGATTAGTGTTACAAAAAGTAGCATGGACAGAAGCACCCTTGTCTGACTGACCTCTTTGTATCTAATAAGTTACTGAAACATCCGTCTAATAGTACTGTGCTACTCATTTTTGCGTAGTCTCGATGGTTTTAATTACTTTTTCTCCTAAATCTAATTTTTTTTAGTACGTTCGTCATAAACTGGTGATCTAACCTGTCAAATGCATGATCCGTGTCTATTGTTATGAGGCATCCAGGACTATTCTTTTGGTTGATGTAGTCTATTGTATTTCTTATTAGATGGATGTTGTCGTATATTTTTCTTTCAGGCAAGGCACACGATTGTTCCGGGCTGATGATGTTTTCTAGAATCGATGAGAGGCGGGAGGATATTATTTTTGCCAAAATTTTATAATCGTTTAGGAGTGTGATCGGTCTATATTCATCTAATCGAGTTGCATCGGTTTTCTTTGGAATCAGTTTGATTACCCCTTTGTACATCGAGTGAGAGATACCGTTTTTAACTATCTCATTGAGGAGGGTGGTCAGGGGTTTGGCCAGCTGTCTGAAAGAAAAACACTAGAATTCCTTACTTAGGCCATCTAGACCTGGAAGATTTATTTCCGCCTAGTTCATTGATTGCTTTCCAGCATTCGTTGGCTGTTATATTTCCTTCCAGTCTCGTTCTATCTTCGGGGCTTATCTGGGTTATTTTTTTAATGAATTTATTTTCTAGATGTGTAGACATAGTGCTATCTTTGCTGTATAGCTTTGTGGCACTCATTGAGAATTTCGGTTCTGTTACTTATAATTCCATTTTTCTGTTTGTATTTGTCTCATTTTATTTTGATTTCTTGTGTTTCTATTCGTATAAAATGTTTAGTAGATCGTTCATTGTCTTCGAGGATTTAGACTCTGGCTCTAATCGCTGTTGCTTCCATTTCAACCTTATCTATCTCTTTGATTTTGCCTTTTATCTGTTTAATTTTATTTGTGTCCTCATGGGGCAAATTCGAAAGTAATCTTAATTTTTTTTTAGATATTTTACGTTTGATTTTCTTTCGTGGGACTTTTTGTCGCTATTTTTATGAAAAAATGTTTTTATTTCCGTCTTGAAATTGTCCCATCACAAAATAGTATTTTCTTCTTCTTGCTTTTGTAGGTATTTTTCTATAAATTTATTTGTTATCTCAATTATTTCTTCGTTTTTTTAGCAGTTTATTATTTAGTTTCCAGTATCCTTCGCCTCGTTTGCTATGAGAGAGAGTGTTAATTTTCATTGTTATCATTTCATGATCTGAGTAACAACATGGTTCGATGTCTGAGCGTTCTATAACTTCTTCCAGAGTAGATCGGACAAGTAACCTGTCAATCCTTGTACTACGTTTACTGGTTACATGAGTAAACGTTCTCTCGTTTGGGTGCTGTTTCCTCCGTATATCTATTAGTTTGTGGTTACTCATTATTTTTTTAAGAGTTTCTGAGGTTCTGCTTGATGTTATATCGTTTCCCCTTTCTTGTCCAGTGCGTTGTTTGTTATGCAATTCCAATCGCCTACTATGATGATATAATCCACGACTGTCCCCACCTAATGGACTAGAGAGCGGAAGAATTCTATCCTTTCCCCTGGTGTTACCGGGGCGTATATGCTTAATTAATAGTCTGATTTTGTTGTCGTATATGTAGATATCTGCTGTTAATATTCTACCTCCCGCATTCCTTTCTGTCTTCTTGACTTGCCAGTCAGAACGTATAAACATTGCACTACCTGCAGAATTTTCCCTACCATAGGACCAGAGATAGTTGTAAAGTGGAAAGATCCTTTGTTCTATTGACCTTGCACGTGTTTTACTGCTTACACGTGTTTCTTGTACAAAAATGAGGTCAAAACGCCGTTGTTTTAAAGTCATTAAAAACAAATTTATTCCTCTCTTTTTTAGTCCTATGGCTATGTTAATCTCCATGAATGTTTTGGTAATATGGAGTGACAAATCTAAATTTCGTCGCAGTTTCCTACTTCTCGCTTTCTTTTACATTAATACCTTTTTCGTCGCCTTTTATTAAGGGTTCCGCTTTGGTATTACTATCTTTGGGTTTTTGTATCGCTGTTCGTTTTGTGTGTTCTTCTTGTGGTTTGCTTTTTTTCCCGGGTCCATTTCGCTCCTTATTTTCGTTACTTTCGTTATGGTTAGTATCTGTTTCACTCCCTTCGTTTATATCAATATCTTTCGACTTTCGCTGAGCATTCGTGTTTTTTGTGTTTCTTGTTTTGTGCTGTTATATATTCGTTTATCTGGCTCTCTTTATTTGAGTCACGCTAATCCATCAGCTCTGCGGGGCATTCAACACTCGCCTCATTCGTTTCCTCTCTAATTGTTCCGTGTTGTTCTCGGTATCGTCTTTGTTATTGCTCCCCGAAGACGAGTGGCATATGTCGGATCAGTACAAAATATTGCATTTATTGCAAAATGGCGCCATACATCTTTAATTAATATGTTCATTTTCTCCACAACGTAGGCACCGCGGGGGTCGGTTTTTTAACACTATTAGAACGTTAAAATTACATATCGGCACGGTGTGATGAATCATGTCTAATTGCATTCACTTTTTCAACTTAAATCTTATTATTTTTTCCCGTTGAAAATGTGTTCAGGGCCTTCTTCTGTACTACGCTTTCTACTTATTTTAATGCTTTCTGCGAATTTTTCTAAAATTCTTTGTATATATACATCGGGGATTTCCAACGGAAGCCAGTGTATTTTCCCTTCTATTATTTCGTCTATAACTGTTTTAATTTTTCCTTTACTACCGGACACCTCGATTTCTGATAAGTTTAAAATAGTATCTCCTTTCTTGTCTTCAAAGTAATAATCCATTTTGATTTAAACATCACCTATTCCAACAATGTCTTTTTTTCGAGTACGTCACTTAACGCGGTGATAAAGTCCTTTCTAAAAAAAAAGGACCACTAAATCTTGATAATTCAATCAAAACAGAGTTACCAAAATCTACCTGGCTATCCATTTCAAACTTCCCTAAAACAACTAGAAAACTTTTGTATAAAAAATTAAGCAACGACTTCCAAAAGACCGTTAAAGATCGTCACAACTTCACAGAAAAAGAATTTTGTGTATAGTTTTTCCCAATATTAGCAATATTTATGAATAAATAATGTGCAAAATCGAATTGAACTGTTTGTAAATACTAAAGCAATATCTGAATTTAAAAACGAGAAAATTTTCATTTTTTAAAAGAATTTCTAATGTTTATAGCTGACTCTGACTACACACAAGCCATAGTTTCGCCGCAAAGCGATTACAGCGCTCGAAGTGACAGAAATATTTATTAAGTCAATTTTGTAAAATTATAGTCATTAGCGAGTTACCCTGCTACTACTACAGACTATTTGATATGATTAAAAAATTTGTACAAATGACTTTTTGAAATTAATTTACAGTCGACATGCTAAATTAATATCTATATATCGAGGTGTGAATTTATATTTACTGTACTGGTCACTTTATCAAATATTCATATATATAAATGTGATATTCTTAATATAGTCTATACTAAAACTGTAAGCATTACTAAACTATTATAAAATATTTTATAAATTTCGTTTTCAACTCTTATAAGAGATTCATAATTGTAATCATTCCATTACATAATAGAACAGTGATGGAATCATTACAGTTTCTCCTATTAAAATTTAACGAATTCCTGTCTTGATAAACCTTTAAATATAATTATACAAAACAATATAAGTCACTCCATAGAGAGAAAACATGTGATATAATTCCGATCAATATTTTACAGAAATATGTCTTTATTACACAATAGAAAGATATTTTTTTTTTTTTTAATTTCTAGTGTTTCTTTCCTGTATGAATTCCGGCAGATAATTAACACNTCTTTTTAATATGTTTAAATCCCAAATGTTAATATTTTTGATAAATTTATTATAATTATTAAATTTATAAATTAAGATTTAAAGGTTTGTTTTTTTTTTCTTTTTAATTTAGGTTTTTTAATTTCTAGTGTTTCTTTCCTGTATGAATTCCGGCAGATAATTAACACGGCAATAATTAATGTCTTCAATTATTTTCACAAAAAAATAATAATAATGATAAGCATTCTCGGTTGTATTAAATTACTGTATAAAATACTTTTACTAATTTCTAGGAATCTTTAAATCTTTCTATATTTAATACAACGTATTGTAAATCACATCGTGGGCGTAGACAAGGGGACTCCCCTTTCAGCTAAGCATAGCGAACACTGTTCTATAGTAAATCAAGGATTAATTTTAACGAGTGATTATTTATTGTGACGTCGTCATAATGCAATTTTTAATGCAAATTTCAGCTCAATAAGTCTATTCCATTTTCGTTTACAAAAATATATTATATAACTCTAATTTTATTATATACAATTTTAAATTTACCTTTTGGAAAACAACACGCAAACTCCATTGGTCTTAGGATGAGTAAATGAGATAAATTCTTCCTAGTATATCGTAATTTAATGATAGTATTCAGTAGATAATCCTTCTCAATGTTAAATTTATATCAATAGAGTAAAAAATAGAATATAATTATCGGACAGCGTAATATAAATGGATCACCCGCAGATTTAAATGCAGCCATTGGCGTAAAATGTCATTTTTCCGGGTTTAATAAAAAAAAACTACGTGGATACCCAATATTATTTTATATGATATAATTCGAGTTTTAATATCTGATAATTTAGTATTTGCCGAATGATATTGATTTTTCCTTCTCTCGGGTTCCTGTTAAATTTATCGATTCGTCTTATAATGTGACAATTCGTCGGGAAAATTCTCCATTATCACACGTTGTAAACAATTAAATTAAGTAAATACGGTAATTGCTTAAAATTACAAACGTATTTATTTGATTTTATTTCTGTTTATTAAATCAATTAAATTATTCAATATATTAACTCAATCCACTCGTCGCCATTTTCTTAATTTTCTAGAATATTCTTCTAATATTTGTTTTAATTATAAATATAATAAAGCTTTTTTTTGCCTAATTTGTTAAGAGTTTAATTTAAAAAATAATATTCTGTTTAATTAATATTAATATTATTATTATTTTTTAAATTATCCCAAAATATTTTCGCAATGATAATTCGTTACGCATTGTTAAAAGAGAAACCGGAAATAGCATAATGACAATGTGAGAAATCGATTACAAAAGAGAAAATTCCAGAATGTTCAAGAAACCAGCCGCATCACTTGTGCACTTTAACTTCCCGAAAATAGTTCCCCCTCAATTTTCCACGCGGCCGTAAAATTCGGTCGTATTTTGCGCGTTCGTATACGTTTATTTATAAATTCTTATTTGTTCTAGATATTTATAATTAATTAATCGAATTTGGTAATTTCGTTAAGTAATTCTATAATCGGAACTATTTTCGAGTATAAATACTTGCTTTCCGGTACTTCGGCCAGTCTGCGTTAACCGCCGAGAAGTTTGTACGGTTCTTTGTGAGAGTTGCTGTTTGTCTGTTCGAATCTAAAAAATCTCGACGTAAGTGTGTTTTTATTTTAATTTGATCGTATCCTCGGCAATCGTACGTCTTTGGCATGTTATTTTAAACGTTATTTAATTAAAAATGATTCTTATTCTATTATACTTTTGTTTCAGATGCCCGAAATTACAATGAGCGAAGAATCTGAAGTCGAAACTTTCGCCTTTCAGGCGGAAATAGCTCAGTTGATGAGCTTGATCATTAATACTTTTTATTCTAACAAAGAAATATTTCTCAGGGAATTGATCTCCAACTCTTCTGATGTAAGTATATTTTTTTTATGTCATAAATAATTATATATCACGTGTATTAACGCACAATTACTCTATTCAAGGCCTTAGATAAAATAAGATACGAAAGCCTGACCGATCCCTCCAGGTTGGATAATTGCAAGGATCTTTTCATTAAGATTGTTCCCAACAAGGACGAACGTACCCTGACGATTATTGATACCGGCATCGGAATGACCAAAGCCGATTTGATTAATAATCTCGGTACTATTGCCAAGTCTGGAACGAAAGCTTTCATGGAAGCCCTGCAGGTAATTCAAATAAGTATCTGTGATAGTTACACTGTACTTATAACTTGATTTTTAGATGTGAAATGCTATGTCTGGTAAGACGCGAACTCTGAATGAGGGCGTTTTCCACTCCCCGTACCAGCAAAAAAGTCTATGGAACCGTACCTGTATGCATGACCCTTTGTCAGATATTTGCCTCCAAAGGTTGTTTTTTATGGTGTGCCGGTATGCAGCCTGTCCTCGGTGCTCTGCCTTAGAGTGCGACTATGCAGACGCGAATTTAGAGCGAGCGAGAGGTTGCGAGAGATTTAGTTTTCGCAAAGGAAAACCATGCACAAACGAGAAGCGAGAAATAACGCTAGCGGGAGCGAATTTCTGGTTCTCGCACATATCTGACAGGTTTTGATATTTATCGCGTCTCGCCTCTTCTCGCCGCATATTCTCGCTCGCTCGGAAAATTCGTTCGCTCGCGTCTGCATAGTCGCACCCTTAGTCGAGGCTTGCGAGTGGGGCGAGCCCCCAAATTCCCTAAAACTATATAATGTTGAATACTCCGTGAACAGTCGAGTGGACTACTCGAAGCTGGCACGGTTGCCTGGGCTAAATAATTAAATGTGAGTTAGGGAAGCGACGTGACTCACAATCACATGTAACCCAGAAGTAGGCTGATTTGGAGGGGCTGTACTTCCAGTGTACCTTGTAGAGGGGGTGGTACCTTTGACTATTTTGTTCCTATGGGTATGGTGTATAGCTCTGATAAGATCCTGACTATCTTGTTCGGAGATGTAATCGTACCCATTTTTGGGCAAAGAGAATGAAAAAAAATGCAGTCAAAATGCTACATAATGAACGATTCAAATAAATTTGACGTTTGAATATAATGTCTTTTTAATATGTTTAAATCCCAAATGTTAATATTTTTGATAAATTTATTATAATTATTAAATTTATAAATTAAGATTTAAAGGTTTGTTTTTTTTTTTCTTTTTAATTTAGGCAGGAGCAGATATATGTATGATTGGACAGTTTGGTGTAGGATTTTATTCTGCATATCTTGTAGCAGATAAAGTGACTGTTACCACTAAAAGTAATGATGATGAACAATACACATGGGAATCATCTGCTGGTGGCTCTTTTACAGTAAAGGCTGACCATGGTAACCTAAATTTTTGGTGCAATTTAACTGGAATTTTTTTTAATGCCAATTATTAAATTCTTATCGAATTTTGACTTATTTAGGAGAACCTCTGGGACGTGGTACCAGAATAGTTCTTCATCTAAAAGAAGATCAAACAGAATATTTGGAAGAAAGGCGAATTAAAGAAGTGGTAAAGAAGCACAGTCAATTTATTGGTTATCCTATAAAATTAGTGGTTCAGAAAGAAAGGGAGAAAGAAGTGTCTGATGATGAAGAAGAGAAAGAAGAAGAAAAGAAAGAAAATGAACCGGAGAATGAGGATACAGAAACACCTAAAATTGAAGATATTGGAGAAGAGGAAGAAAAGGATAAAAAGAAGAAAAAGAAAATTAAAGTAAGTCAATTACTGCATTTTTAACATTGACATGCATGTAATAAAATAAATTTCATTGTCATCTTGATCGAGATCAATATTTTGTAAGAACTGTAAGACTTATTTCAGCAGAACTTCAATGATTGAGCTGGGTGATTAAGGGACAGAGACTGACATACATACAGTAGTGTGTCATTTATCCAAATCAGTTGGGGACTGGGGTTGTTTGGATAACTGATTATGTACAAAAAAAAATATATTAACATATCCCATGTTGAAATTTTTCTCTGCTGCATGTCACTTCGTGTTGAATTTTTGTCGATGTTAAGCCTAACGTAAATTTTTCAAAATAATAATCGTGGCTATTGTATCGTCAAAAATTATTTCTTTATTTTGGAAGTTAATCTACTATCAAAAACGTTTGATTCAGCACAACACAGTCTGGCTAAAATGTTTTGGTTGATCGGCTTTCGAATAAATGACACTCTACTGTATATGTATATATGGGACTATATACATGAAAAATTCCTGGAGTTACTTGCCTGTGTTTTCCAGGCTGATGCCTTATCTACCTCAATCTGGTAATTGACTTTCTACATTTAGAATCATATTTAATGGGCCTTTAAAATAACAACAAAGCTCAGAAAATCTGACTGAAAAACCAATTTTGCAAACTAAAAGCTTGTTTATAAGATTTGTTAGTAATGCTTTATTAAAAATAATGGAAATGAATCTATAGATGCTTTATAAAAATGAAAAAGAAATTGTGATTTGTTTTTTCTGCAAAACAGGCTTTGAAGTTTTTTTTATTTAAATCTTAAGTTTGACTAGAAAACATGTTTAATTATTCTATTTAAAACATTATAATAAAAATTATTTAAGAAAACATAAATGTGGAATCATCTTTTGCTTCTGTACTAAATACTCTTTAAATTAACACAATTTTTCTATTCATTCTCTTGCCTAATAAATCAACTTGATTTTTGTTTCCTTCTTATATCAAAGGATTGGTGGTTATCAAAATATGGTCTGCAGACTGGCCTTTTTCCATATTTCAATTCATGAAGTTCAGCCAAAGAAGAGAACATTTTCATGCATTGCATTTTTTTTTTTTTTTTTTTTAGATTGTGCACCAAAATACAGTAGAACCTCGATTATCCGGATCGCTCAAAATAAACAAAAATTTTATGAATTTGCTGATTTGCACTTGGCGAATTACAATACTGTTATGTACGTGATGGAATGCATAACTTTTTTTTGTTTCAACAACGTCTCACCTGGAACAGTGGCCATAAACTGTTAAATATATTTTGCTTCGTAATAAAAATATAACTTGACATATGTATTTATAAATAATTTATTTTCAAATTACATCATTTCTATGATCAAGGGCGGCATAAGGCATGGGCAACATGGGCCACCGCCTATGCCTTGCGGTCCAAAGGGCCTCGCGTTTCGAAGGTTTATGCCAGTGTTTTTCAACCGGGGTGCCACGGTGCTACGATTGGGGTGTCGCAAAGTTTAGAGCCTTTAGGCATTTTCTTGGAAATTTACTTAAGTGTAGTTCAAGGTAACTCATTGTCAGTTCTATTTTGTTATGAGATATCTAGTAAGCAAAGAAACTATGACTAATCGCATGTTAATGTAATGTTCTACGCTACGTGTATGCACGACTTGTCACAAGTTCGCCCAAACCACACTGCTTGGCCTTCATGTTCCCAGTCCCAGTACCAGGCCAACCACCAGAGAAGAACGATGTGGACACTTATGTCCACGTCGTTCTTCTTATGTCTTGTATATACTTTAAAAAGCGTTGCATTGTACTTTGAAAAGTGTGTGGTTTCAATCACAAAGTAGGTGCATATTACAGTATTTTCATAGATTCAAAAGCAATGATGACAAATAAACAATTGTTATCATTTTTTAATTTAAATTTTTAAAATTGATATGAAAAGGATAAGAAAAAAGTAAGGAAATATTTATTTTATATATGCATTAAAATAGTATAAAAAAAACTTAAGAAAAATTGTTTATCAATAAAATGATAATATAAAATGATGATATATTTGATAATAAAACTATATTTAAAAAACAATAGCGAGACTATTATTTTACATGTAGGTATTTCGATAAAATTCAATGAACTTAAATTTTGATTTTGAACACATAGAAACACTTTTGCATTGTGCGTAATATTTGTTTTCGCAAAAAATTCATCTGGCCCATTAGTCTCCCCCCCTTATTCAGATTCTAGATACGCTGCTGGTCAAGGGTGTCACGATTTGTNCGCGGTCCGAAGGGCCTCGCGCCTCGAAGGTTTATCCATTACTTAAAAACCGCGAACGCGACGAAAAAATTTTACTCGTCATAAAACGATAAATAGTTTGTCAAATTTTTATTCATAAAAATGCAGTTTCAACTGCTTTTATTTTATAAAATCAAGTTGTCTTGTGCTACCAGAGGGCCTTTTAAACAATAGGTAGTCTATTAGCGTTGGTCAGTAGTAGTACAAATTCAATACGAACGTTTGTTTCTTGAAAATTTGATCACGGTTTAAATACAGTATTTACTTTTAATATTACCGATATGTCATCGAAAAGAAAACGTGTTTTATTATCATTAAAAGACAAAGTATTTGTTTCGATTATCCGAATTTTTCCTTATCTGGACTACCTTCATCCCCAATTAGTCCGGATAATCGAGGTTGTACTGTATTTTGTTTTATCCAGTAAATGCCATCTTAGACAATAAGTGGATAGGTCTGCAGGTCGATAACTTTGATATAATTCAGACATTCATGGAGGTTCTCACAATTGCAAAATAAGCATCCATGACGCCATGACATACTGCTACAGATGTAAATACAATCAGAATTAGTTTTATGACAGAAATATCTTGGATCTTATATTTATTAGCACATCTGATTATAAGATTGTATTTACTCTTGGACTATGATAACTTTTTTGAGTTAATAGCCACATAAAAAGCTTTGATTTTAAAGAACTCTATCAGTTTAGAATAAGGCTTGAATACATATGTTCTCTCCAGAAATCATCAAATGTTGTAAGGTTCTGTGATACTTATTTTAAAATCATACCTTTATCAGAAAGTTTGAGAATACATATTTTGCTAATTTTAATGTTAAAATTTATATAATATTTTTTCAAACAGGAAAAGTATACTGAAGATGAAGAATTGAACAAAACTAAACCAATCTGGATGAGAAATCCTGATGATATCACCAAAGAAGAATACGGAGAATTTTATAAAAGTCTTACTAATGACTGGGAAGATCATCTGGCTGTTAAGCATTTTTCTGTAGAAGGACAGCTAGAATTTAGAGCATTATTATTTGTTCCTAAAAGAGCACCATTTGATTTGTTTGAAAATAAAAAACAAAAGAATAATATAAAGTTATATGTAAGAAGAGTATTTATTATGGATAACTGTGAAGATCTCATTCCCGAATACTTGAGTAAGTATATTTCGTGACAAAACTTTCAGCATTTGATAACTTAAAATTTTTAATTTTTTAAAATTTATATTTGCCAATGATGCCTTGATAATTGCTACTAATTCTAAAAATAATGTTAAAATGTAAGTAACAATGTTTATTTTTTAGTTAGTTGTCAGCTTCAGTTCAGTATATTATCCAGTTTGGTAGCAAGATTTTAATTTTCATTAGTCTGTTCAGTAACTGTAGGTGGGAAATTCATTCTTGGCAATTTTAATAATCAGCTTTTCTTAACTAAGATGGCAATTTTTTATTCAGACATTCATGGAGGTTCTCACAATTGCAAAATAAGCATCCATGATGCCATGACATCTATCAGCAATTTATGACTTCCAACACTTTCCTCTGTATGATAGTCTGGGTGCTTTGACTTTCAACAGTTTAAATATTTTTGTGGATTGTGTTCAAAAAATACAAACTAGAAAAATCATTACAGGTGAGAAGGAACACAAGTATATTTAAGATGATTTAAAGAAATTCTATATATTATCTTGTATCTTTTAATGTATCAGTATCACCAATTACTTCATTGAATCTCACCTTTTTTGGAATACTTGTGGTGTTGTTGGCATGGGTTATTTTCATTGTTTGCTTACAATGCCTCATATCCTTTGGCCACAACTATGGATATGCTATCATTTTGATTTAAGGAATTTGCCATGATATGCCTGACGATTGAGAAATATACTTTGGAATAATTTTGCTTGTTTATCCTTGAAATAAACACCATAAATAGGGAATACTTTGTGCAGGATAGTGAGAACTTGTGAAAGTAGCGATTACATAAAATTCTGTGCAAGTGTAGAATGTTTTTTGTTTCAAGATAGCAGGCAGTGACTATAGGAATACATATTTAATTTTGGCTAGATCCATGATAGAATCAATCAGGTGGTGAGGAATGGCAGTCAACACAACCAAAGCTTGAAAAATTTCTGAGGATTCTCAAAATCAAAGTTGAATCTTTAGTCCTCAGAATGGGAGACATCTATTTTCTAAAAATCTAGATGATTTTAGTCAATTAACTATTGTAAATTTTTTTACTTATATAATTCTTTTTATACATGAACTTCCCATTTTTTCAAACCAAATGTTTGTCAATTTTGATGAAATTAATTTTCAGTATATTAGATAATTTGTTAATAAATTAATGCTAATAGAAAATGTTATTATAGAATTTATTATGATAATGACTGTTCTTAAAAACATTAATTATAAAATTATAATTTTACTTAAAAAAATTTTTTGTAATTGAAATTTAGATTTCATCAAGGGTGTGGTTGATTCTGAAGATCTTCCTTTGAATATCTCTCGTGAAATGTTACAACAGAACAAGATTTTAAAAGTTATTAGAAAAAATCTTGTCAAAAAATGTCTAGAACTTTTTGATGAAATTAGTGAAGATAAGGATATGTACAAAAAATTCTATGATCAATTCAGCAAAAATATAAAGGTAAATAAAATCATGGAGGAATTCACTTTCAATGAATTTTGAGTTAAAGGAATTCAAATTCTATCCATTGTTTATTTTTATAAACTCTAATTTTGGTTTTTCTAATTTCAATGTTAGCTTGGTATTCATGAAGACTCTCAAAACAGGAAAAAATTGGCCGAATATCTGAGGTATTACACATCATCATCTGGTGACGAAACATGTTCTTTGAAAGATTATGTATCCCGTATGAAAGAAAATCAGAAACACATCTACTTCATCACTGGGGAATCAAAAGAACAAGTAGCAAATTCTGCTTTTGTCGAGAGAGTCAGGAAGCGTGGCTTTGAAGTTATCTATATGATTGAACCAATTGACGAATATTGCATTCAACAACTGAAAGAATATGACGGAAAAACATTGACGTCTGTGACAAAAGAGGGACTCGAGTTACCAGAAGACGAAGAGGAAAAGAAAAAACGAGAGGACGATAAAGCAAAATATGAAAACTTATGCAAAGTGATGAAAGACATACTTGATAAGAAAGTAGAAAAAGTAAGTAAAAATTTCCTCACATTTATCTAAAAATACTTTTGTTTTTTAATTGTTTTTTTTTTTTTTTTTAATTTTTAGGTGGTGGTATCAAATCGTCTTGTTAGTTCACCATGCTGTATTGTTACAAGTCAGTACGGATGGAGTGCTAATATGGAAAGAATTATGAAAGCTCAAGCATTGCGAGATACTAGTACAATGGGCTACATGGCTGCAAAGAAACATTTGGAAATTAATCCAGATCATCCCATTATTGACACATTAAGACAGAAGGCTGATGCAGACAAAAATGATAAATCTGTAAAAGTAAGTGTTTAGATGATATAGGATGCTAAGTTAATTACTAAAAGTAATCTACTCTACATCTTGTGATCTAACTTTGTTAATTTTCTCACAGGATCTCGTAATGCTGCTTTTCGAGTCATCACTGCTCTGCTCCGGTTTTAGCCTAGAAGACCCGCAGACCCACGCCTCTCGAATTTTCCGCATGATAAAGTTGGGACTGGGCATCGACGAGGACGAGGGAGCATCTGGAGATAATGCAGAAGAAGAGTTACCTCCTCTGGAAGGAGATGAAGAAGACGCATCGCGCATGGAGGAAGTAGATTGATGATACTTAATTTAAATTACTCATTCTGTAATTTAACTTTGTATTCCATTTCCATCATTCCTTTCATTTTATTTTAAATAAATGTTTTTGTTCGGTGAATTGAATGTTGTATTTATTTAAATTAGTTTTTTACCATCACACAAAATCAGTATAGTTATACAACTGATGTACGAACTCCCACCAATATGACAGGTTTCGTTAGGACCAGAATTTGGGCTAAAAATTAATATTTTCTTCAAATGATCACACAACAAAAACCTCTTACACTCCTCAATTAATAATTTGGATAAATTCAATTTAAAAGAAACATCCAGATCTTGTATGATAAAAATTCAGTGATGAGATTTATTTAAATCATCAGTTTATGTGATTCTTTTCTCAAAATTAATCAAAACTTACAAACTGAATAAAATGTCATATTACAAGAATAAACACCTTAATAGTAGAGGTTCAATTTATGCTAGAAATTGATTTTTTGGCCTAATTTATAGGTCATCTTCAGGTATTAACTGGTTATGTACCAAATTCGACCTTTTAACGTTAACATGCATTTACAGTTCAGTAATGTGAGCTCCAATTATATATATATAATTCACAAACTGAAATCTATGAATCAGGTTAAACATTGTTCCTTAATTAAGCTAGTTAGATTTTCATTTCAATTGTTCTTTTTCAGCTCATGCTTGAATACAATTTAACAATACTTCAGTGGTGCTGATTTCTGCCAAGATTGTATAACACAAAAACTTGCAAAATTTATTTTTTTCATCTTTCCAAAATTTGTAATTTATATTATACTAGCAGACCCCGCCATGCCTTGTTGTGGCTCAAAATGTATCTATTATAAATGTATAACACTTCCCCCGTGGGGGAAAATTTTTCGAAACATTTCTTCTTAGTGTACATTCTCTTGACGTACCTTATTAAAACGCATAAACCCGCATCTAAAATAGTATAATAGAAGCCAGGTTCTTCACAGTAAGCCTTAATCCTGTCCCTCTCCCCCCGCGGGGGGAATATCAAAAAATCCCTTCTTTGTGTACATTCTGTTGACGTACCCTATTAAAATGCAATCAAAAATGCAAAAAACCGCATCTAAATAGTATAAATAGAAGCAGAGTTCTTTACGGTAAGCCTTCCCCGTAAGGCTTACCGTAAAGAACTGTCCATTCCCATGTTTAACGGAATAATATACAGCCTATGTCCATCCTGAAGTTCCATTCTAAATATTGGTGAAAAAATTTTTGAAATCGGATGAGTAGTTTTGGAGATTACCTGCTGCATACAAACTAACATACATACAAACATTACCTCTTTATTATATTAGTATAGAAGACACAGTATGTAACTTTCATTTATTCTATTTCAGTTGGTGTTTTCTTTTTTTTTTTACTTTACTTTCAGATGTCCCAGAGTATCAAAATTTAAATGTGTGCAAGGTTCCATGATATCCAATAATTTAACAATTATCAAATACTGTAGATGTGTGTCACACATCAAAAGGAGCTAGGTGATTGTTGTATTGGCTTTAAAAAATTATTTACTGTATATTGATGTAGTATTTTTTTTTATTTAATTGAATAAATGTTATAAATTTAAAAAGTTTATTGTACTGTTTTCTAGTGAAATACAAAATATATTTAATTTACGTACAGTGACACAGACCACTTATACATTCCTTTTAAAATGAAGGAAAATAAGTTTCATCAATCCTAAAAATTTTAATAGGTAAGGTAAATTGCGTAAGCTCTATTGAATGGTAATATTTTTGACTTTCAACACTGGCCAGAAATGGGCTATTTTGGCCAAAAGTCAAAATCTTTTAAACAGAACATGGCATTTTTAAATTAGATTTGGATTAACATTTTTCCTAAAGACATCTTCAACAGACCATAAAATGATATTGAAAGTGTCATGAATTCTAGAACATAGGTATCGGTCCATGTACTCAAATACACCTTAGTTTGTGTATCAACTCAAAACCCAACAATATCAGATTTTTCTCATTTGTTGTCTTTGGCCCATCCATATTTATACAGATTAAAATCAGTGCCAAATAAGTTATGCCAAAAGAGTTTATGTGAACAAAAATACTATGTAGCAGTAATAACAAATTCTGTTATTTCTGCATCAATTATGTATTATGCCAATTGTTTGTTTTTCCTAAATTGACAGTACATTAATAAAAATCACTTTCAAGACCATTTTATGGTAAATGGAGGCACAATTGAGACAAAATTATCTTATTTTAGCAGAATGATGGGGTAAATTTTATGTTTTGGAGCTTCCAATTTATTATAAAGTACTTAACTTTTCTATTGTCCAATATAGCCAAGAGCATCTGTAGAAATACGTAAAAAATCATTTGTATGCTGAAACATTTTACCATATTTAAATTAATGCATTTCCTTTGAATAAAAAGCATAACTATTTCTTTAAAAAAATGAAATCCTTGAATCTTATTGAGACTTATTTACTTCTTTATAGTTAATTTTCAAAATGTTTCCAATATAAACCTTTATTCTGCTTTATATCATGAATATTACACTTTGTTTCCATTACTTTTGAGCTTTTTAGCTCATGTTCAGGGTTAAAAAAATACTTTAAATTCATAAATTTAAATCTCAGCTGAAAAATATGAATTTATATACGTTAAACTTTATATAAATCATAAATGTTTCATCTTAGTGAGGTGTCGTATTATAATTCATGATTATATGATTTTCAACTCGTATCAAAGTTTATTTCAAAAACTTGATAATATAATAATCATTTATTCATATTTTTAACGATTGATATCACTTTAAATTTAGTACAATTATTATATTTGGTTCACAATACAAAATTTAATAAAATATTTTTATTTAATAGCATCATTTTTTCACATTCCTCTTTCAAACACCTTTACAACATTTTGATAAAAATGCAATAAATAATTATGAAAATCAAACATAAGAAAAATGTTAAAAATTCCATTATTGTATTCATAAATATTGGAAAAATTTTATTTTTCATAGTACATAGATAAAAGATAAGTACACATAAAAGTAATAAATATCTTTGTTATTTTTATTTTTGGTAAATCAATGATTAAGTTTCATCCATAAATATCTGGGAATGTGTTTTAGCAGGAGATTCTCTTATTTAATCATTGCCAATTTCACTATGGGGAAACAAAATGTGTATAAAAATATAAAAAATTAATTTATGTAAATTAAAAATGGACTAATTATTGCTTTATTAAGAATGTTTGTGTATTTACTTTAAAAAAATTTTAATTTTAGGCTTGCTAATTTTTGATATAACTAATACTAATATTAATTTTAAATACCTGATTGATGATGTCACATAGATTCTTCCTCCTCTTCTCAAGGTTTATTTCTTTTAAATAGTTGATAGTTTGTAAAATACTGGATCCTTCTATAAATTTCCAAAATTTGTGATAGTTAAATACAGTTCAAAAATATAGAGATTCTCCGCTTTTATACATTTATGAGACTTAATAGAATTCAGTTTTTCTGCCGTTAATTAAATACATAAATATATACACATTTGCAACAATGATATAAAATCAGCAGTAACTGTAGAACCACTGCCTTCTTTACTTGCTCTACATTAACTTGGGCTGTGATAATTTAAGCCATTTCATTAGTTGCTAGCATAATTATTATATAATGATCAATCTTCAAATATTCTTACTTTTCTATTCCAGTAGGTTCATTGCTAAACATTTCAGCTGGGACGGTAAGAGGAGCTTTTTCTGGCAAAAGATCTCTAAGTGGCTGTTTTGCTTGCAGATGTCTTTCAATTTCTTCTGATGTCATATGTCCATCACCTCTACTTATTGATAAAGTTTCGCGAAACTCTGATGGCTGGTTAATTTTAGATCCTCCTATTATAATATTAAAATATAAAAACAAAGAAATTATATGATTTGCATTAAAAATATTTTTCATGTAATAATCTGATGAAAGATGTGGTATTAAAATATTTCTTATATAAAGTCATGTTAAATGGTTTAATGGAATATCATTCAATCTTTATTAAATTACTTAATGGACTAGACCAGGGATCTTCAACCTTCCACATCCTTTGGAACCGTTCTAGTTTATAATATTCTTCAAGAAACCCTACATTTAGATAACAATTTTTAGTTTTTAAATTAAATTAATAAATTTAAAAACTTGTTTGAAAACCTATTTGATTCCAGTTCTGCCTGAAGATGATGTTTATAAATACATCAAAAGCACTTGCAGGATATTAAAATGTTTCTTAAAATGTTCTTTTAATATTTTAAATACCTAAATATGCATCCATGTATTCACTGACACACATTTATGTACTTAAAACATACTTAAAAATCTGACAAGAAGAAAATGTTATGTTCAAGTTTGCTATCAAAAATTTAAAGATAACATTTCAACATATTATAAAGACAATACTTTGCATTAATTTTCATAATTTTATAATGATTAAAATGAATAATAATCTTAGGCATGTTACTTTTTGTGAATAAGTTATGAGATTTTTTAGAAAAACAAAATTTTAAATATACCTGCTTTGGGTGGCTGTGTTTTTCTTGCAGACTTTTTCTTTTTAGCATCACTAGAAATCTGAAACATAAAAATTATTATTTTTATTTATAATATATTTAATTATACAGGCCTAATCAATATTCAGCCATAAAATTTAGGATAACTTAACTTATTAAAATTATATTAAAAATATATATAAAATTTGATAAAACTTCTATAAAATTTTAGCCATCTCTTTTGCTTCTCAACTGTCATCTGAGGTGAACTATTAAAAACAATAAACTGCTATTAAAAAAACACTTTAAAACCATTACTGTTTGTTATTTTCTTTATTTTTCTCATATATGCATTTTGATCTTTCGATCCTCCTTGGTACATTCACAGAGCTAATTTTATCCTATAAACAAATAAATATCTCAAAAAAAAGAAGAGCAAAAAATTAAAATACACTTCCTGCTTAAGTCAGAGGGTGCTATGGTGGTCCCATTATAAGCAAATGATTATTCTGATTGGCCACCATTACCTTATTTTATAATATAAGCTTATAACAAAAGACTTTGGTTATTTTTAAAACATTACGGTTGTTTGTAAGGTTATACTAAAGTGCTTTATAATGGAAAATGCCAATGTACAAGCTTGCTACTATCTCATTGAGTAATTCCAGTACATATTAAAATAAATCATTTGAATCATTTGAAATGTCAAGAAATCTTTTTATTTTGTTTAATATTATATTTTCTAATATTTATTTATTTATACAATTAAGGAAATGTCCGTGGACAGTTGATTTCCACCCCCTTTTAACAATTATATCCACATTAAAAACTATACAAACAATTCAACAATAATTAAGATAAAACAAAAGTAAAATGTATACAAGATAATAAAATAATAAGAATTATATATAAATAAATGGTTACTGTTAACAATTTGTTTACTAATATTAATCCTAATTTTTACAATTATAAAATAAGAAAAATTACACAAAAGAAAACATTTAAGAGAATTAAAATCACATGAATAAAAGTTCAAAAATAAAAGTGATGATGATAAAAAAGTAAAAATGGATGAAGGTTACCGATGCTAATATAAAATGATTAGTCATTGATTTGTATATAGCATTCGTTCGCAGGTACTTTTAAAAGTAGTATAATCTGTGGGCAGTATGGGTTCTATCAGTCTTGATTTATTGGCTATTCAATAAAATATTGATCTTTGGGAATGGATAGACAATAATATGGTGTATGTATACAAGCATAATTATGGGTTCTTTTATTGGGGACTCTCAGACCAAGCCAATAGTTATTTAAAATACCAATATTTAAAACAAAGTTAGCGGTCAAAATATTATATATGTTTTATTGGGTTGGGTATTCCAAGCTGAATTCTTGCTACTACAGGATTATTAGTATAAGGTAGGTTGCTGAGTTTATTTAGAAAAAAATAAATATTTGGATTTCTTTAAGGACTTTATTTCAATGGAATGGTGCTGTCATTGACCAGACTGACAAGCAGTAGTCATATATGGATTGGAAGTTCATAAAATAATTATTATTGGAAAAATTCATATAATTTTTATCTGATTATTAAGTCTCTAAGTTTCCATCTATAATTTAGGTTCATTGCAAAAGTTTAGGTAGTTAAGCAAACATAACACAAACACATCTAAAGAAACCAACACATATATTTATTTGTGTAGGTAGCAGAAACATGTAAAAATAATACATCATTAAACTAGCATATTATTAGATGACTGTAAATGAATAAACACACAAAGTGAGATGTGTTGCAAAAGTTTAGTTTCATCACATCCCCAGGAGAAATAATGATATGAACCTGCAAGTTAAACGTTACAAACTATTTCATACATGTTAAGAATAAAATTGTCATACTGCTGCAACTTTGAGTTGTGTGATTTGCTTGATATAATGTTTATGAAAACATGGGATGTGTTAAGATGTTATCTGCCTACGAGAGAGGCAAGATTGATGCATTAAAGCAGCAAGGGCTGTTCAACAGGGTCATAGCAGAACGGATTAATCGGTCACATAACATGGTGAACAATTATGTATGTAACCAAGAGGATTATAACCAAAAACCCTGTTCAGGATGTCCACGAGCACACAGGGAATGTCATCTTCGACAGATTGTAAACACCATAAAACAATCAGGATCATCACTCAGACAGTTTGCACGTGATCCAATGGTTAACATTCATATCAACAAATAAAAAGACAGTCAATTCCAAAAAATTTTTGTTAAAACTTTGGTCAATCACCTTTTATTTAAAAATAAAAAATTCATATCAACCCTATCAAGAGCTATAAGGCTCAACAGACAACTGCTGTACAAGAAGAAGAAACTTCAGCCCAGATTAACATCAGACCATAAGATAGCACAGGTAAAATGGGCTAGAAAACATTCAAATTGGAATACAGAATGGAGACGAGTAGTATTCAGCGACGAAAAGAAACTTAATTTAGATAGTTCTGATGGCTGGTGTTACTACTAGCATGACATCAGAGAGGATAAGATTTTTTTCCATACACCAAATGGGAGGAGGATCAGTAATGGTTTGACCGGATTTGGATGCAATGGGAAGACTAACATTGCATTTCCGAGTGGGCGTATGAAGGCCAAACACTACCAGAACTGTTGGATGGGCACCTCATGGCATTTGGAAAGAGGGTTGGAGGACCATTCTGGACATTCCAACAGGACAATGCACTAATCCATGTAATCCAATGCACACTACATGGGAGTGGTTCTTAGACAATGGTGTGCATGTAATGGAGTAGCCTGCTAATTCCCCTGACCTTAACCCCATGGAGAACCTCTGGGGATTCCTCACTAGGAAGGTATATGCCAACGAACGTCAGTTTTCAACTGTTGCAGAACTCAGACAGCCATCACCTCTGTACAGGACAAGATAAGTCAAGATGTGCTCCAGCGACTTTTAGACAGCATTCCTCATTGTGTTTTTGACATTGGGGTGCAAAAAGAGGGGTTTCTGGAACAATAATATGTAATTTTAAATGATGGAACTAAACTTTTGCAACACATGTATTATTTCATTTTGTGTATTCATTTACAGTTGTCTAATAATATGCTAGTTTAATGATGTCATATTATTTTTACATGTTTCTGCTACCTTCACAAATAAATGTATGTGTTGGTTTCTTTAGATGTGTTTGTGTTGTGTTTGCTTAAGTGAAAGGAGTGGACCTAAACTTTTGTAATGCATCTTATATTATAAATTTAATTAATTCAAAAGCTAAACACATTGATAAATTATTAAGCTTTATTATTACATTTAAACAATTTTGTCACTTTTTGTGTTTTCATGTAACAACGATGTTATTTTTTATTTTCTAGGTAGAGAAAAATCAAATTAAATTGATTTTGACAATGTAAGGACTAAAAATATTTTGAACAATGTCAAAAATGTAAACAGGTTACCTAATAATACCATAGAGTGTAAAAAGCCTAGCATTCCTTGATCTAAAAAGTCTATTACATATCCCAGAGTAAATTATTTTAGGAATTTGATTTCTCTGAATAAAGATAAACTCTTAAAAGAGAGATGGCATAACTAATAAAATAGTTTTTCTTCAATAAAATATGATTTCATAGTAACTGAAAGATTTAAAATTTACATAATATTTACTATAAAAAATTCTAATAATTTTCTCTGTTAAAATTATATTTGTATCTAAATCCTTCTTGTATAATATTAATTTTCTAAAAGATGTTTCAATCTGTTTATATCATTTATACAAACATTAATATAAACACTTTATTTTAAAAACATAATTTTTATATATGATTACTTACAACAGATGTATTAACTACAGATGTACCAATTGATGTAGTTGAGGTTCGATTTTCTGCATTTATTATAGGTAAAGGTTTTTTCCTATAAAAATAATTTTTTTTAAATAATAATAATAATAAATATTTAATATTGTATATAACAGTCTTTTTTTTTTTAAATTAACTCTTTCTGCCCTGTGGGCTCTAAGAGGGCCTCTTTTTGCAAGCCCATTATGAGTTTGGCCAGGCCCACAATGGAGCTGCCGGGTAGTGAGGGATGGGGCCCGACATATCCAAACGGACCACCCCCAAAAAATTCCTGGGGATTTTTCGACCCGTTTGGATTCGAGCCCACCCGTTTGGATTCGAGCGGTCAAGGTGGCAGTCCCCCAGAGTGGTAGGCTGCCACCTTGACCGCTTGACCATCCGGCCGCTTGTATATAACAGTCATGATGTATAAACTGTTCTTTAAAAAATAATAAAATTTCCATTAAAATTATTTACATAAAACATTAAAAATAAAAAAATATTTATAATCTATTCACCGTAACATTAAAACTTGTCTCCAATTAGATAAAATAATATTTGATTTGGAAATGAGGATTATGAAAACAAGCTACATCCAAAATAAAATCTTATCAATTAGTTTATTTAAATGCTCAAAAATAACATTATTATATTTAAATAATTTAATAATACTTATTAATTTATAATACTAAAATCTGAGAACAGATAACAAATAAAGTTTAAAGAAATTAACTGTAGTATGGTAAAAAAAAATTTGGAATTATCAATCCGGCAGTCAACTTCAGTTAATGATTCTACAGATCCATTTTCCAGGAGATTACTTTATTCAGGTTAAATATATATTTCATGTTATTCCCCTCTTCAGTTTGATCCTATTTAACATTTAGCCTTCAGTTTACCAGTGATCCACTTGGCACACTATAACAATATGCCAAACATTTGCAACCAAACAGTATAAACCTTATTGAAACTTTCATAAAAAGTACTATAGTTATACTTATGTTAAAATAATAAGGGAGTAAAATTTCTCATAAATACAAACATTCATGACTGACATAATCTATGCAAGCTGGTGTTGACTTATTCTAAATTACATAAGTACACAATTTATGTAAATTTGTCTTGGAAATTATGCAAACTTGTCTCTCCCCCTATCGAAAATATACGGATACCAGGAATCATAAACCTGCAATCTTATATTCTCATTTATTCTCTGTTCATTTTTGATTGTAATAATTTCCAAATGTGTGAACTATTCTCTTTTTAACTTTTACAGTATTTTTATCTGGTTTACATCCTAGTGCATTACAATGGTTTACAACAGCTGAATTTACACTATTATATTTTATATTATTTATGTGTTCTTTAACCCTCTGGCCTATTGTTATAGTGTGCCATGTGGATCACTGGTAAATGGAAGACTAAATGTTAAACAAGATTAAACCAAAGAGAAGAATAACTTGAAATGCATATTTAACATTAATAAAGTAACTGCCTGTAAAATTGATCCATAGACTCATTAACTGAAGCTGATGTCGGTTTGATAAGTCTGAATTTTTAACCTTACTACAGTTAATTTTCTTCAATGATTATTATACAGAAAAAATTTTTTAAAATTGAATAGACTTTAAGTTTAAAGGGTTGTTTATTCATCCACAAAATAAAAAAACAGAATCATTAAAAATAAAAAAATATTTACAATTAAATAACTGTTTAGAAGGGAAAAAAGAAAGATCAGAATTAAATATTTACAAATACAGTGAAGCATTTTAAAATACAGACTAATTGGGGCTGAACCCTATCCAGATTTTCAATTTGTCTGAATTTTCAAATATACAATATATGTATAAATTAGCATTTTAAGTACTAAATCTAAGTTTAGATATTCTAAGTTCAAGCCAGTCTTTTATAAGGAATGTAGGAATGCTTACAAAGATTCAAAATGTAAACAACCAAAAGATCAACAACAATGAACTTACCATTGAAAGGATTAACATATAATTTTTGATGGTCAAATCCAGATTTTTGACACTTCACTATATTTAGCCACAACAGTAGAAACTGGAATAAGTATTTTTGTAATACTGTATATATATATATTAATATATTATTAGAATTTGAGTGTCATTAAGGAGATGAAGAGATGATAAGCATTTATAATTGAGACAACTTTTGATCTAAAAACTAGAACACGAATAACAGAGATCACAAATCTAACAGACAAGGTCCCATATGTGATGGTAAGACTCAAACTGCAGGGTGAGACAAAAGGACAAGAGATTCTTTTGTCAAAGGTATGTTGCCTTGGCAGACAAAACTGGTTCTCACTTGTAAGCACCAATATATATTGTGTATAGGAGAAACTTTTAAAGATTTATGCATATACTGTATAATATAATTCACTTTAGCTATTTTTAAGAAAGCAGTTGATGGCATTTCAGTAAATATACTTAGAGCCTTTTTCTGTTTCCAGTAATGTTTAATAATAATCAAATGTTTAAAGACAAATATACCAGATATATTGGTTTTATATTTTATAATATTTTAATGTTTATTTTTATGTTATTTCTTGTACTTTTCCTGTAGTTAGTTACATTGGTATTGCGCAATTTTTGTATTTTATGTATTTGAAAGTTTTATTTTTTATTTGAAATACATTAACATTCCAAAATACATTCCATTTCACATAGACCTGAGGAAGATCTCGTATAAATTGAAAACATTTGTCTTTAAATGTCTGATTATCATTAAACATTACTGGTGTTAGAATGTCCCTAGTGGGGGAGGATAAGAGCCTGCATTTTTTGAGCTGTGTTCCGGGTTTTTATGGAAGAAAGTCTCTGTAAACTTGTACTGTGCTGTTATCTGACTGTGTATTTCAAAGGTAAATACACCTTACATTTTGTTTATGCCATGTCTAGTGTTGGTTCAAGAACCTCGTAACATAGTGTTACAACAACCGGAAACAAAAAAAGGCTCTAAGTTTAATGAGGTTTTTATTAGTATTACTTTCCAGTCTTATTTGTTATGTAGTTTTTCTAGAAATATATACAGTGAGATTAAGTGAAAAGACAATCCATTTAATCCTAAAAAAGTATAAAGGTATAATAAATAAAAACTTTTAATTCAATTTTTAATAATAATTTCTAATATTTTGTTTAAATATCTATATTAATCACACAGTGAAGATTCCTTCTGAGTTTATACACAGTTCTATATGATGCTGTCACTGTTCAAAGCAATAGTGTAAATCAAGTGTTCCACACCGTTTTTCTACTTGCGGCACACCCATGACTCAACACAGCACACCAAAATGTTATTCCCCTCAAAAACGTATGATATGATACTATTAATAGAATTATGTAATGCCACTAACCTATTATTATTGTTATTAAACAGACATCAACACCTGTGAGTAATTTTTTTTACATATAATTTCTTAGAATACATAAAAATGCATGGCTTGTAATAAAGAATAAACAAACATCATCTTATTTCATCAGTACTTGCAGCAGAGAATGAAATACAAGCATAAGAAACACAACAACTGTGATAAAAATTAGTGATGTAACGAATATTTGGTTACTATTCGGTATTCGGCCTATTTTTCACTATTCGGCCGAATACCGAATACCTAAAAACAGGAGTTATAAACAACAAAAACACAGTAAATTAATCATTTTGGTATTTAGAGTTAATGTTATAGAGTTAGTGTTGTTTGTTTATATTTATTATAACTTGTAACTTGCACAAAATAAAAAAGAAAATAATATTAGTCACATGTATTCACAATTTATAATTACATGTACACATCTATCGTTGGAGAATCCTCGCACATCTGAGGGTCTGACCCTGCCTATCCTTCTTTTTAAGCGCTCGCCTTTGCTCTTTCCTTTCTCTTTCCTCTATTGCTCTAATCCACGTATGCCTGTGCATACATCACAATACGCGCTCACGATACTTTCGATTCATCACTTTTCCGTCGTAGAGTTCCCATTTTACAATTACGTGACTCAACCTGGTGATAATGAAGAAAAGAGACAGATAGGACGTCGATATAAGTCACAGTTATGATTTCACAGATTCGAGACAGCTTGATAGCCTGAACGGCCCCAGGCTTTCGCCCGTGCACGCTAAGTGACTTTCATTACAAGCATTTAGCTTTCCGAAGTCTATGACAACAATTGTTTGGCATTGACGGCCGCGAATTTCGCGCCAATAAGCTACTTCGACTCATTTGATTATGTTATCGACTCAATTTCATATTTATTTTCACATTTTCACTTCGCGGTCTTTCTCTGTTCTTTCTCCGTTATTTACACGTGTAGGACATTTCATTGTTATCCACATTTGATATCATCACTTATCACATACTGCCATGACGCTCATGTCTGTCCGCTTCAACTGTCAAGAATTAACGCGATTGGCGAAGCGTAGTGACAGCAGGCCAATAGAGAGCAGGGTCCTTGCCATAATGCGGTTTGCGCGCCAATTTCCGTACGTGCAATAATCGAGCCGAATAGTTTGGCCGAATATTCGGCTATTCAGCCACGCTCCTGGCCGAATATTCGGTATTCGGCCTGAGGCCGAATATACTATTTGTTACAACACTAATAAAAATATATAAATAAAATTTGAAATTAACAGAATATGTAAAAGTTCACATCACACCTTTCACCATGTGATGGCACATCAGTGTGCCGTGGCACACCCGTTGCAGAACACTGATGTAAATCTTATTCTGTAAAACCATGTTTACATCTATGTAATAATGTTGCAAACAGAATTTGTTATCTCATTATGAATCCTAGCCTGTATCATTTTTGTGAAAGAAGACCTGAATCATTTTGATGTACAGTACATTATTTTGTGCTGTACACTGTGACATTCCATTTCACATAGTATTTAAACAAACCATTTTGTCTAATGATCATAAAATCAGCTGCAGCTACTCACATCTGTGTTATCCTGAGCCATACTTTATACTGTGTCATTCTTTGATGGTTCATTGAAAAACCAACAAACAATGGATCAGCAACAAATCATTTCATGAACCATTCATGTGTCATGCTGCAA